CTCTGCTCATACAAGAAATGAATAAAGCCAAAGCAGATATCATTGCTTTACAGAAAATGAGGTGGACTAGCTCAGGCATCCTGGAAAAAATAACTGTTATACACCAATCCAGGTATTGTGAAATTCGTTAAAGTGCAGAGACTTAGATGAACTAGACACATTGCTAGAATGTCCGATCGCCCAATACACGAAGACATTTCTAAAACCAGAGGGCACAAGAAGTAAATGATGGATTGATGATGTGGAAGAAGACCTACAGAAGTGGGAAGTTGCCAGGAATCCACAGGAGTGGCGACGTCTTTGTGAACAGGCCAAAATCCACAACAGATTGTCGAACCACTTATGATCATGATGAATATGTATGTTGGTATTCCTTTATTATTATTATTTCTATTATTTTTACTCGACAACGTCTTCGAAATCATTTCATTTCTGTTTCAGCTATCATAATGCAAATTGGGTATAATCTACATTAAAAACGTTATCACCCTTGACCCTGCCTCGTACACATTTTCCTTCGATATAATAGACAATGATTAACATTTTACAATAACAAATTGTTGGTTATGGTTTTGTTAATATATATCGAGTGCGATAAGATAGTGACGTTGAAAAGTTATCAATGTTATACTGGTGAGGCAACAAAAAAGTATATGTATTACTTGCATTTTCCCTAAAATTGTTGATCAAGAGAAGATATATATGTACGTCAAAAATGCGGTGCGAGAAAAAAAAAGTGATCATCTGAGGTTTCTTTAATTTACATTAATGCTGAGCAATAAAACATTAAAATGCAACACGACAATTCGTAGTATTCTATAAAAACAGTATTTTTTAACTCGTTAATTTCGAAACCATAGAACAAGACAAAATAATACGAGAATATGGTGGGAGTAGACATCAAAACAAAGTCGTTAAGATCTTGACCTTGTCTTACCTGAATTATTAGGAATTTTTTTCGAGAGAGAGAGAAAAAAAAAACAATTCCAAACTACTATCAAAACGTCAACGGTGATTTTACAAAGGAATCCAAGGCTTTTGATCTTTTTTGTTTAAAAGGTGTGACAATTGCTGTTTTATTCAAATAAAAACTAATTTCACTATGAACTGCTGCACATACAGGGTATGTCATATGTGATTTAACTTTTAATAAACACTAAATTAACCCTGAGCTACTATCGTCTATTTACACCCACATAACTACCATCGTGGGGTCATAGATGACCCGAATTTTAAAAACCTCTAAACAAGATATAAAAATATATTTTTTATTGTTTTTGTATTTTTGACAAATGAATGTGTATATAAACAAGAGATTTTTTGTAAACATAAATTTTATTTCAAGAAAATTAAGATGCTATAATAAAAATTATAGAACTTTTAAAATAAATTTTGATCAAAAACATAACTCATTATTATAACAAAAAAAATATATCTTAAATTGAAATTAACGGTTCATTTTCTGATAAAAGTAGTTTATAATAGTAACGTCTTAACCTAATACAAAAGAAAATCATAATAGAGTAACCATATAAAAAAATAACAGTCATGTTTTCTTTCGTAATGTTAGAATCTTGCGACAAAAATATTTGAACAAATTGTAAGTGTTTATCTATTCTTTGCACATAGTACAGGTAACTCTCTGAAGTGAATGTGTTTTGCAGTTGGTCCTATGACATTCTGCGCAAATGTGGAATGTTTGTTATCCTTACCTCTGGGACACAAGTAGCATCTACGTCTTACAACTGGCCTTTCTGGTTTGGTTTGATCTTGATGAGTAATTTTATTTTCTAATGCTTTGGAAATTATCGAGCGTAATTCTCTTGACAAATTTGGCATTGCAAATCTTACTTCTAAATGTTCATTTATAAGACTGATTTCCCAGCTCTTGAATAAAATCCGATCGATTTTTTCTAACCCCAGGATTAGCTGCGTGAAAAATAATGTGACTACTATAGCAATATCCATTATGGAATACCAAATTACTAAAGGCCATCGCTGGCATCTTCGACCTGAACGATAAAGTGCACATTTTTGATCAAGTGCATCAACGCCCCCTTTCGACGAATTGAGTAGAAAGCTATTATATCAGGTTTTTTGCTTTCCTGGTCAACAGATTTGTCGTGATGCATAGACGACAAGATAATTATACTTTTATTTTTTTAGGGACATATGATACGATTGTATTGTCTCGTATCAACTTCGTAATTTTTATTTGATTGAAATTGTGGAGGAATTTCTCTCTTATTTTTACGCATTGTACCTACATAGGTAAGTCGAAGTTTTTTTAGTTCATCAACTAGCTCTATTGAGGTGAACCAATTATTACCAGTGACATTTCGGTTACTATTGGCAATTGGTTCCACTAAAGCAAGTACTAATCTTGTAGGTATGGATAGCTTTTGGGCATTAGGATCATTTGTTTTACCCGTATACACAAAAGCATTTACCAAATAATGTGTTTTTTGCGTCACATAAACACATGATCTTGATGCCGTACTTGACTGGTTTGGCTTTCATGTACATTCTGAAAGGGCATCTACCTCTAAACCCAACCAACATCCCGTCCACTGTAACATATTCGGAACAGGTGTAGTTTGCTGTACTGTTAGATACGAAACATTTAAATAAATAGGACACTGCTGCAAGTCGATCTCCATTGGCCTTCTTTTGCTCTCTTATTTCATGATTGTCAAATCTTATTGCTGTGAGAAGAAATAAGAAGCGTTCTTTTGACATTGTAGCACGAAAAATTGGCCTACCTAAAACACTTGTCGAAAATAATGAATCGACATTCTCATGATTAGACTTTAGTACACCTGAAAGGTATAAAAGACCCAAAAAAGCCTTAAGTTCACCTTCGTTTAGATGATCGACAAATGTACATGTATCCCCATAATTTACATTGAGCTCGGTAAATTTTTTCATTTGTGTACTCTAGAATAGAGGCCAACATATTGTCAGGAGTTATAAGAAGTGACCAGGATTCAAGTGGACTGCATGGTTTTGTTTCTAAGGCAGGTCCACGAAGACCAGAAAGGTGTGTAATAATGTTCTGTGTGCGAATTTTTGATGGGGCCGGAGCATTTTTAGCCCACTTATATCTGTTCCGTCCCATAGTAAAAATTTGTTTCATTATTAGATGCTGTTTCACATTCGTCGCTTGATAAGTCACTTACGTCAATTTCTGAATCTGTTGTCGTGAACCGAATGTTCACTGTCAGTGTCAGTATCACTGTTATTATTAGAGTCACTATAAGTGTCAATATTTTCGGTTGGTTCCTCCAGAGATTCGAGAAAGTCAAAAAACATTTTCACTTGTCACCGTACTTCCGCTAATTCTTAAAGCCATTTTAATGTATTATCTTAAATAATAATAACGTAACTACTATGGTGGGGTCAAATCCGACCGGAACTCAGCAGCACGTGTGCACTATCCCACTGATCGTTTGCTACTAAGCGGCATGCTAAACTACGTACTTAATTGGGAGAATACATAGAATAACAAGGGCGTTCGCCAAACTGTCTACCAGTGGATCACGAAATTTCAAGTCCTAGGGTCAAATTTGACCCCACGATAGTAGTTCAGGGTTAAGTTATTTCTTATAAAATTGTAAACAGTAACAGAAAGGCTTAAGACCTTACTACAACAGACTTATGGAAAACGGACGGCACTGGTAAAGAGGTTTTCCGACCGACAATGAACATTACGAGATCAATATAAGGCATGATAGAATTAGTTTGGATAAATTAGCGCCACTAAGAGATCATATTACCAAGTGGAACGAAAATCGAAAAAAATGTTTCTCTCATTCGCAATACATAACCGTGGACGAAAAGTTTGACGCTTTCAGAGGATAGTGCTCGTTCCGCCAGTACATACCAAGCAACCCCAATAGATACGGTACAAAAGTATTTGCACTGTCTGATGTGAAGTTGAAATATACGTTGGCAAAAACCAAGTGCGTTGTCCATACTATCTAGACACTACTACCAAGGCAGTGGCGGAACGGGCCTGTCAACATCTCTACGGATCTAAGAGAAATGGTACACCAACGTTGATCTTGGTATAAGCTTGAATTAATTTTGTTTAACTCTCTTGGGAACAATAAAAGTAAAAGGAACACTAGTGTCATAAAAAAATCTCTCCTGTCCGTGTTGTTTTGCTTCAGAGAATGAGTAACCAGTCATCTCCTTTATTTGGTCCGACCATCGTACTGGAGATCTTACTCTGGATCTTTTACTCACTACGTTACATTTAACTATCATTCGATCCATGCCTTCTCTTCTTCTAGTCATATGTCCAAATCTCAGTATATTTTGGTTGATAGTTGTGATGAGTCTAGTTTTTATGTTGATAAGCATATAACAGCACAAAAAGCGGTGTTGATACCGAAGATAAATTATGCGCACAATATGATGTGGCACGTTGTAGTGGAAGATGACCTATGGCTGTTTTGTACAGCCTTTTAAATGTTACAGGAATAAATTCCTTTGTTATTTACAATTGTAACATTCCAAATTCCACAAAGACCAGACCAGAGGTTTTAATAAATTTAGCATTTAGCCTTATATACAACCACCAGAAGAATCGAAGTCAAAATGTCTATATACCCAAGACAATAAGGATTCGACTAATGAAGATCTGTCATTTGGATGAATATGTCGTTCCAGTTCCAAAGAACTCCGGGAGCAATTGGGAGATATTGTGACTGTGGATGGAAAAAGAATGGAAAAACGAAATTTTTTGTTTGATTTGCAATGACTGGAACAATATTCCGGCTTAATTTAATTATGTTTTTGCCATCTCTTATATTTTTTTATGATAAATCTTAGTGAAATAATGTTTTATTTCTGTTTAAGATAGTACTCGAAGACTGATATGTTATGTTCTAATTTTAAATTAATTTTAATTAAATTAAACTAACTATTAAACTGCGCCTACTGGAAGGTTAAATAACAAAATGCTATCAAATAAAAACAAAAATATCGTTACTTACGTCAGCTCCAAACCACAATTGGCCGGCCAGATTCTCTTGCAGGACGTCCTCCGGAAACTTTACCCTGAAATCCCTGTTGGCTCTCTCGTCCCCGATGAGCACGTCCATGATGGCATTCGTGATGGTCAAGACCTTGTCCTGGGCCTGTCGCAATTGATTGACCAGTGTCGTACATCGCTCGGGGTCCTTTCTGCCATCGAAGCTGTCCAGTTCGTTGACGACGTTGTTGAGCTCGTCGTCGGCGTAGAAAAACTGGGCCAAGAGGGATTTGTCGTCTTTCTGCAAAAAACAATATTCAGTTTGTAATAGGGTACAAATAAACGTTAATTTGATAAGAAAAAAGGGAATTTTTGAACAAACCTTCAAAACAAAAAAAAAATAAGCCATGAGTATATACGAAGTAGAGGAAGTGGAGTTTCCTAACATGAAGGTATCTTAAATTTCTAGCACAAAATAACACAAAACAGCAAGAAATCACTAGAAGTCACTATAAATGATAAGGAAATAAGTAGCCAAAGGAAAATGTAATAAATTGTTCAGAATACAGATCTGTCACATATTTAAACAAGGTCAATGGATGATATGAATATAAATATAGTAAATAAATGAAAATTTAAATACATACAAGAACGACAACAAATGAAAGAATAAAAATCTAGAAACGCACTCATATAAGATGAATAAACACAAAAAGTACCATAAAAAGATAACAGGGGTTGAGTTTTTAATAAAAACATCTTTAAAAGACATCATTTAAAAAACAATCCAGTCTCATCAGCATTGAAAATGTCGTCTGACGCATATCGTGCCTTCAGTCCAGGCCATAAGTTTTCTAGCCAATCATCCGTTACGTTTTTGTTAACATCGCGAGCCTCTCCGCTGATTTGCCCGCAGTTCATCTTATGTCGCGGCTTCCACTTGATCCACTCAATTCCAACCTCAGTTGCAAAAAACCCAAGCTTTTGTCCTGACCACAGGTCCAGAAAGTGGAATATGGTTCATACGTTGCTACTGGAACCACTGAAGCATAGCGCTATCTAAATCTTCGTGCTGAGGTTTCCGCAACTTCTTCCTGCTACCGCCCTTCATCTCCACATGAAGCCACTTTTTTCTCTCCTTCCATATCGTAGCCATAGTTGACTGAGACAGCCCCGTACGGCGAACGACATCCGATTGCTTTTCACCTTTCTTTATTGCTTGAGTTATCGATAACTTTTCCTCCATCGAGAGCACTTTACGCTGTTTCGAAAACATGTTGACTGTTGACACAATCAGATACAACTCAAACTGGGGATGAAAAGTCGTCAATAGATAACATCTGTGTGATAATAGTTAGGCATGCCACCCGAACAATAAAAGCCTCTTAACCCTCTGATAATAATGAGTAAAATGGGTGGCCGTATTCCTTAAGCGCAAAACAAAATAACCGCTGGACAATAACCAATGTTTAAACTTTAAACACAATAACACATTTGTCATCGACTATTGAACGCTGAAAGGTCATCGCTATAAAGAGAGAACGATATCGGTATAGAGAAAGAATTAATATATTGTCCTTATGACGAACCAACCAACGTTTACTATTTTCATCGTTATAGGGGAATTATCGTTATATAGGGAATCGTTATAAAGAGAGACTACTGTATTGTGAAATAAATTAGTTTTTTTTTCCTTGGCTTGGACAATTGTCATTCAGCCAATACATTATTGTTATTCCATTTGCCAGGTGAAGGTTTCTTTCCGACATTGCCTTCTGAATGCCGCCCAGCCAGGATTGTTTTGGCCTATCCTCTCTTCCTTCTTTCCCTTGGCGTCCATTTTAAAATTTTGTTTGGCAGCCTGTCGTCGTTCATTCTTTTCACATGACCAGACCAGATCAGTTGTCTCCTTTGAATTTCGTCAATGATGGTTGACTTGACTCCCATTATATTTCTGATATGGTCATTTTGTATTCTATCATGCCTTGATTTTCTAGCTGATCTCCAGAAGTCCATTTCCAATGCAAGTAGGCGTCGCTCAAGAGATTTAGTAAGTTGCCTTGTTTCGCATCCATAGAGCACTATACTTTTAAAGATGGAGTTAAAGAGGAGATGCTTTCTTGGATTTGATAGTTCTTTTTGACCATAGCATCGGGTTTAGGCATCCTATCACCCTTTTTCCTTTCACGATTCTTTGCTCTATCTCTTTTTCGGTGCGCCCACTCTTGTTGATTGTTGTTCCCAAATATATAGGTAGGTTTTACTTAAAAGTTTTTTTATTATTTCAAAGGGAACTAACGTTAGAGTAAAAGTCCACGATCCAAATGATACGTCCTTTATTACATAACAATAACCTGTACGGATGGTATTTACAGGTACACACAAAATTACAAGATTATTTACAGGTAGACACAAAATTACAAGATATACAATTAAAATATCGGACAACCCCTTCGTTAATTTGTTTCCGTCGTTCGTCATTCATCTGCCGGGCGTTGGCACAATAATTAACCTTCACAACTCGAGTGCCAATATCGAATCCCTTTTAGGTCAGGCATGTGTGATTTTGTCTATATTTTTTCTGTCCCCCTTTCCACGCGATGGCGACCTGTCTGGGGCGCCTTAAGAATAACGGTTTTAGTGGTATCTCGCAGTGGCGTAACTAACAAATAAAACTGTGCTAAATACTTAATATAAGAAATATTTCCTACATATATATTCCTCACAGTTCTTGATTGTTTCATGTTCGATGACCATTAGATCTTCTACTTCATTCCCGATGCATAAGTATTGCGTTTTGTTTCTATTTACAGAGAGGGCCCATTCTTCATATGTTTTAAACAACCGTCTCGTCATGAATTCTAAATTTTCCTTGTCTGCTGCCACTACTACTTGGTTGTCCGCAAAATGTAGAGTGTATAATGTTGTATCGAAGACAATAAATTATATTAATAAAAACAGTTTCAGAAGATCCTCTTCTCAATGGAACAATGGAGTCATTATTTTATTACAATAGCAAGGATACATAACATTATCTTCAGATCTTTATCTTCAGGCTCTTTATCTTTTCAAAACGCCTTGAAACTCCACCAGTAGCGCTGTTGAGTGGATCAGTAGCTTAACAGTACTATTGCCGGTCCCAAGACCGTATGAAGGAGGAGGGAGACTTAAGCAAAGTTAGTACCCTACTAATAATGGACTATAAATATTTTAAAACGGTTCTTAAATTGCTTTCTTGTGGCATGCCTAATTTAAATATTATATTTATTGGGGATTAAGCTACAGTTGATTGTAATAAAAATTATATTTTTAACTAAATAATGTTTGACGTTTCGATTTCGCCACCGGAAATCGTTTTCGAAAAAGATTTAAGTTAATTTAAGTAATTTAAAAATTCTCCGAAAATGTATAATATATAATATATACAGTGCTTTTCAGATAAAACTATCCACCTTAAATAACTTTTGAACCTCTAGTTTTTTGGAAAAACGCAAAAACACGTCAATTAATATTTGAAGGGGGAGACGTTATATCATATTAAAGGTTGCTTGGAAATGCACCCTTTCACCCCCGGTATCAACCCTTTATTTTTTTAAATTATTTCCCCCTTTTTTTATTTTATATTTGGATTCTCCTTTTTGTGTTGATTTCAAAAATGTATAATACCTTTGGCTTGAAGTGATTAGTTTATGAGATAGACAATTTTTAACAAGGATAGTATCTCTCTCACCTTAAATGACTGTAACAAAATAGGTTGTAGCATAATTTAAAATTTTTAATTATTTAACCTTACTATTTGTAGTACCTTCAAAAACCAAGAAATAAAAAAATTCACTTTTTATTAAAGTTTTATCAAAGGTTAAGAATAACCTTTCCGAAGATTTGGTTGTATTTCAACATGATGGAGCTTCTCCACACTTTGCTTTACCTGTGCGATAATTTTTAAACGAGACGATTCTTGGTCATTGGATAGGGTAATGACGATAGATGATCGATTAACCACCTAGGTCACCGGATTGAACACCCCTAGACTTCTTCTTTAAAGGGTATTTAAAAACAAAAATTTATGCTACTCAACCAGAATCTCTAGATGATATACGACAAAGAATAGAGGATGAATGTCGACACTTAAATGCAGACGTTGTTAAGCAATGTCAAAGAAGAATTTCAAAATAGATTATACTATTGTATGGAAGTGAAGGGCAGTAATTTTGAACAATTATTGTAAAAATTTTTAGTAGTGAAATGTTCATTCTAAATGTATGTAATAAAATTGTTAAAAAATAACTTTTTTTCAATCCAATTTTCTCGCTTTTGTATTTATTTTTCTCATAAACTAATCACTTCAAGCATCATGTATGTATACATTTCTGAAGTCAGTACAAAGAGGAGAATCCAAATATCGAATAAAAAAAGGGGAAGTAATTTAAAAAAAATTAAGGGATGATACGAGGGGTGAAAGGGTGCATTTCCAGCAACCTTAAATATGATATAATATCTCCCCCTTCAAATATTAATTGACATGTTTTTGCGTTTTTCCTAAAATTTAGAAGTTCAAAAGTTATTTAAGGTGGATAGTTTTATCTGAAAAGCACTGTATACTCCGAAACAGGGGCGGATACAGAGTGGGGTCTACAGGGCTTTAGACCCCCCCCCATTGTATTATTTAACCTATAAATGAACATCATTGCTATAAATTATTAGGGAAGTATTAAAAACTTAAAGAGCATTTGCTACTTTATGATCATCCACTAGAATCTACCCTGTATGTTTATGCGATACTGTAACTGCCTATCAATTTACTTTTCGTAAAAACCGTTCTCTAATTAATATTATATTTAGGTTTTCTGCCGATAAATTGACATTATCAACGAAAAAAAAAAAGACCAAAGAGGCAAACAACTTGATGAAAACAAACACAAATATCAAAGTTCAAGCTTGATATCGAAACGTTGCTGCCAAGCTCATTGTCAAGCTATTTTGCTTACAAAAAAGTGATATACCATAGGCGTCGCTAATAATAAATTTAGGGAGGAGGGGATTACAGAAAGTGAATATATCGGATAAACCTACTGAAATCCTCAGTGGATCCTGTTGTGCTGAAATATATTTGTTTTCGAGAGGGAAAAAAATATTATACTTGATTTAAGAGATCGACTGAAATCTATAGTGAATTATACGAGGTTTGTCTTTTTAGTTTTTTATATAGTCGCTTAGAGGGCATTACCAATAAAATCTTCCTACACAAATGTAACTTAAATCTTTTGTTGACCAAATCAAGAGTTTCATTGCGATACAAGTCG